CACACACAGACCAGGTAATTCACGGGGCGCAGTAATACATCACCCGTAAAAAGGTTAGCAAGACCACTTGACTCCCAGGCACATAGGCAATTTCCGAGACAGTCCTTGAAATTGGCAGGAAAGAGACCTCCACGTGTTTTCCTGTTCCAAAAGACAGAGAGGGTAAAAAAAACGCGCCATTTCACAAGAAGACATATTGTCAAAGAGGGAATTTCCTTCGCGACGGTGGGAAAGGAAACAACTTCAGCAAATTCTTTGTGCATCGATCCCACGGAAGTCGACGATTCGGCAGCGGCCTCGCGAAAGCCCCGGCGATGATTGGCAAATCAGGCCACGCGGTCGGCCTTAAAGAACGAGGTTTGTGAGGCAGGGTTTGGGAGTCTTACGATGCGTCTAATCGTAGCTGGCAACTCACCCCTAGGCTGCGGGTGACTCTGATTTGACAGGACTTTTTTCCTAGTCAGCTGACACTAAGAACTTATGTTTACCGATGTTTGGTATTTTTAAAGATTTCTCTACGGGTATTTTTATTGTTTTACATCGCTTTAATTTTTTTGAGTTTTTGCTTAAAATAGAATTGCGAAAATCGGAATACTCCAGACTGGGGAAGTGTTGCTAATTTTTCTATTTTGAATCGAGGCGGAGAATAGTTTATGTCCTTACCTGAACGGCGTCGGTATTTGAGTTATGTCTTTTTGTCTTTCCGTTTTTTTAATGGGTTACTCATTAACTTTAGCAATGTTATGTTGGGTGAAATGAATACCTGCTGTGAGGGACGGTTTCTGTTGCACATTTTTTGCGTGTGCTTTTCGGCCTGTGGTGAGGCTGAAGTGAGTATTTTCTGAGGTCTTCATCGTCAAAGACCAAGGATAGGATACTTAATTTCAGAAAACTTGATGACAGTTCTCAAACTTCTTGCATATACATATGTACTTTATTCTCTCTCTCTCTCTCTCTCTCTCTCTCTCTCTCTCTCTCTCTCTCTCTCTCTCTCTCTCTCTCTCTCTCTCTCTCTCTCTCTCTCTCTCTCTCTCTCTCGTCTATCAGCCCAGTTTCCCCCCGAAATTAAAATATCTTTCCCGTCATCGCCATCCTCCCCAAATAAACTGCTCACCTGAGGATTGTACATGGGGAAGGGGTGGGGGGGGGGGGCGTCGAGGATCCTAAATAGGACTCTCCTTAAGGTCCTTCTTGAGTGCAAGTTATGACCTTAGAAGGATAAGCGGAGAAGATGAATTAGTCAGCCTGTGATTGAATGGGATGGAGTTGTCAGCCGATAATTGGTTTCGTTACTGTTTTTTTCTTGCTTTCTTATTTAGAGTTGGATGGATTGGTCGACCACCCGAGACCTTGTTTGTTTGTTTTTTCCCTTTCGTTATTGGTCGTCTCTCGGGAGTTTAGAAGTAAGGGTGTGTTTTGTGTATGTATGTTTTTTTCTTTTTCTCTTTTCCCTTTCTTTCATGTTTTGTTCTTTTTTATTTTTACTTTTTCTCTCTCTCTCGTTTTTTTCTTGCTTTTGTTTCCTCCTTCCTAAACAGTAAGAAATAATGCAACGTGCGCCCAAAGGTGTTCTCACACCAATTTCCCGAAAATGCGTTCATTAAATATTTTGTTGGTTTAAACTTTCTTCATAACATATGCATCGATATGTTCACTTTAATGCATCACAATTTTTTATATATGCCATGATTATAGTTCATTAACTTGCCACACTCACGTTATAGAAGAACCTTAACCTGTAAACCAAACAAAGGATTTAATAAAACGCAAAAGACCTAAGAACAGCCTTTGAACGCGTTTGCCCTCCAATCACGCGCTCTCGTTGAGCACGCCACGAAGGAGATGCCAGGCGAGGCTTCAAGGTCACGCCAGGCCCTTGGGGGGGTTGGGGGCGCGGGGGGAAATATACGCTTTTTTTCTTTCTTTTCTTCTTTCTTCTTCCTCTTCTTTTTCCTTTTCTTCTTTTTCTTCTTATTATTTTCTTCTTCTTTTTCTTTCTTCTTATTCCTTTTCTTCTTTTTCTTCTTCTTTTTCCTTTTCTTATTTTCTTCTTTTTCTTTTTCTTCTTTTTACTTTTCTTCTTCTTCAAACAAGATTTAAAAGTATAGTTCTTGTTTATTTTTTTTATTGGTTTAGTGGTGATTATTGTTATCTTTGAGGGGCTGTGCAGATGTAGGAAAGGGATAATGAACATATGATAATGAGAATGGTGATACATGTTTAAGTTAATGAGAGTGGCGTTACTACTACAAATAATAATTATGGTGATGATACTGATAATGGTAGGGATAGCAGGGATGATGATAATAGTAATTATAATAACATTGATGATAGTGATGATTGTAATGATGATAATGAATAATAGTAGTAATGATGGTGATGATTATAATGACAGCAGTAATGATAAATACTAGTGATAATAATAACAGTAGGAATAATCATTATAGATACAAAGGAAACACGTTAATGAAAAAAAATGTGAACCAGGATTTTTTTTTCT